AACTTTGAATCTAGTTTATGTCATCAGAGTACCTTGATCAAATAAAATTTCGTTTGGTAAAAAAAAAAAAAGCTAGTTCTGGCCAGGAGCAGAGGGAGGGTCAGGCCATAGATAAAGCACTCGGCACCAACCACTTAAAGCAGGACAGGGGCACGGAGGGCAGCAGAAGGCAGCCCTCTGATTAGTGCCCATTTGGGACCACGTGATTAGAGAGGTCCCACCCTCCTCCACTGAACCGGGTGTTAGAATCCCGTCTCCAGAACTGGCCACCTCCCAGCCTTGCCTGCATGAGGTACCAGAGAACCTGCCCTGGGACTCAGGGCAGCGCCTGCTGCCAGTTGGATGAATTCTTGAGAGCAGGGACTGTGTCTTATTTATATTTGTATACTCCAGGCCTGATGTGGTGCTGTTTATTGGACCTCACACATAGTAGAAAATTAATAAAATGTCTGATGAAAAAAATGAATGAACACATGAAGTAAATAATTAAATGTTAGCTCTCCTGTGGTGAAATTTAAACATCACAGCCTTCTCATTCTGCCCTTCAGTCAGTCTAAACATTTAAAACTTGTCACTTAGAGTTCTGAAAGAGTGTTTTGGGTATTAAGAGTTAGGAATCATTGTGTCAATCAGGTAATGGAAACTCAACTGAAAATATGTATGAGAAGTTGAGGAATTCCAACAGAACTGTACCCACGACCCCCAAAATACCAGGAGAACCCAGTCACTACATTTGTTAATTCTTTCATTCTCAGGCATTCTCCCCTTCATGGTTTCCGGCTGTTTAGGTTTACATCATCCTTAATGCTGTTCTGTCTTCCCAGTTGTTCCACTGTAGTCAAAAATTTTCTTTAAACTAATTTGGGTTCTTGGCTCATTACTGAACCAACCACTGTTTCTAGGAATGTAGAATATGCTGACTTAGGTCCATGTCACATATCCACCCTTAAATTTAGTCATGGGTAGGGTCACCTCCCCTCAAACCACATAGGGAAAGAGTGTTTCTTTCAGGAAAATTAGAACGCTTTTGTCTGGAAAAAAGAAAAAAGATGAATGTTAATCCAGACTTGGATAGGACAGTAGATCCTCATTTCAATAATCTAATCCATCTCTTCCTATTAAAAATAAGAAAGCTGTACAAAATAGGTTATTGCCTAAATTCAAGCAGTTTCTTGAATGATGCTAGGTACAGAATAAGCCCGTGATGATATGAAGAATTTTTCATTTTTTGATTGTGTTAGAACATAACAGTGATAGACCAACATTTATCATGAGGAAAGATTCTCATGCAGTTTGTCACTCTGCTGCATTCCAACTAAAGAGCCGTCACGCAGATAGATCTGCTGTTTGGCATAGTTGTTTGCTACAGTTAAAAGTTAGATAAAACTTGTTAATGGTTATAGCATCACTAAAAACAATCACACAAAAGGTAGCTCTTAAAAGAGATTTAAACTTTGGCACATTGCATAGTTAGGATAACAGAACTGAATAAGAAAAACATTGCCATGTTGAATAGATGATATAGCGTGCTTTCTGAAATAGGATTTTGGCTTCAGTTACTTGGATGAATTGTTATTCAGAGAGCATTTGATTTTTAACAACACATGCTTAGATTAACAAAAGATTTCTTTTAATCTTAAAATTCTTAATCATGTTCAGATTGTTACTTTCTTCTGCAAATTGTCCTCTCTTTTTACTGGCCTGTATCAAGAAAGGAAATAGGTTGAAGAACATTTTGTATGAATAATGTATCCCAGACTTTGCTGGTCTCTTAACAGATATTAAAATGCTATATCTTGTCCATCTGTTTTCAGACTTTGTGGGCACCCTGTTATCTATCTATTGTACTAGCATCAGGTTAACAATTGGGGCTGTTGCTTTAAATTTAAGAGTACTTTTTATGAAAAGGTGTCCAGGTGAAGAGTAACAAACATACTGAGCAGATTATGTGAACATTAACATACGTTTAAAAATGTTGTACGTTTTCCAACTTTTTGAACGATTTGCAGTTTTCTGCTTGTCTGTCCTCCCAGCCCACTTCGATGGCTTCCGAGTGGGAAGTGAATGGTACCAAACACTATTGTCCATCTGAGATTAATGCCTATTGAAAAAGTATTAACTGCGTGAGGAATTTTATTGTGTTTGGTATATTTTATATACCAAAATATATACCAAAATAATTTATATTGCCTTTACAGGGACTCATGGGGAACAGAGGGCCTCCTGGACCTCCTGGTCTCAAAGGAACTCAGGTAGGGAGAAAAGAAATATCCAGTCAGCAATTTTTTTTAATTCAAATTTTCCTTTTTTAATTTTTGTGGGACTTTAGTTTTTGCTCAGAGAAAACATCCCATTCGTATGGATGATTTTTGCCATGGAGGATTTCAGTTACCGTTTTTTATTGGCAGTTATGGAATGGGATTTGGAATTGTTCTAGTGTTCTGACTTCATTAAGTGATTTATGTAGTGGTCTCCATGGAATGTCTGAAGAATCTGAGCCCAGAATCTCACTCATATGTACTAGAATTTATATATACCATTTGTGTCTATTTTATATTTCTAATCCAGTAAATTACATTTTGACTGAATTATGGATTGAGCAAAGTGTTTTTAAATAAAATAGAACATATGATTCTAAAGAGGTCTGTACATTTTGTTCAGATGTGGTAAACATCAACTATTTATTGAAAGGTAAAAACTCAGAATGTTTAGAAAGTATGTCAATAAATAGAATAAAATATTTATTACTGTGTATTTTCTTAGAGAATAATATATAAAAATTCTTTGCTTTATGTTCTCTCCTCTATTCACCAATACAGTATTAAATCCTTAGGAGAATGCACAAAATTTTATATTTTATGACATTACAACCAATTTGGCCTTGAGACTATTAGACCTATAAATTAGACAAAAAGAAACTCTAGACATTGGTAGAATCCAGTATACCTTTATATCTCTAAGGTTTAAGATGGAACAAAGACTGAAAAACATATTTGCTGAATGAATTAAGTATCAAAATGTGCCAAGAGCAAACACGTTCTGTACCAATAATTTTTTCATATTCCGATGTGTATTGGTTTCCATCTATACTTAATTGAGTTTTTCTCTGTGCCAGAGGTACTGAACCCACAGGTTAAGGTTGTCCTTAAGTCATGATTCAGTGATTCCTAATCCTAATTTCTGTGATGCCCTAATCACTTTCACTCTTATCCATTCTCAATTTTCTATGTTTAACTTATATCATCTACCAGTTCAAAAATAACCCAGTGGTACACATCCCCTTTGATGTATATGTGGGTTGTCATGCAAAAAATTTAAATGTCATGGGGTGATGTAGTTCTAAAAATACAAGAAAATCACAGCATTATTTTCATTGTATCTCAGGAAGAGCTTCAGATTTCAGAATAAATGGAATAAGAGTTTACATTTTAAAATACGTTCAGGCCATGACATATTCTGATCTTTTCTAAGGGAGAAGAAGGACCAATTGGACCCTTTGGAGAACTGGGGCCAAGAGTAGGTATCATATTAAAGAATTTTCAAAGAGTGCTTCTCTTAAAAAAAAAAGTTGTTTTTTAAATGTTATTTACTGGCACTAAATTTTAAGTTACAGCAAAGGGCAAAGATTAAAACTATAGTCATGTAATTATCCCAAGTAAAACAGGCCTATAACTAGAATTTTCAGGGCTACTTTAAATGATATTTTATGCCTACTATGTATTTATTTAATCCCTTCAGTTCCTTCAGTCTGGTCTTCGTAATTTGTGCAAGTTATTTGTAAAGTTTCTCAAAATGCATTACGAAGCTAAATCTGTATTAACCATTTCAGTAATATTTTGGAAATTTCTGTTTTCCAAGTTTGTCAGTAAAATTATGGAAAGCAAATAAGACATTTTCTGCCAATTTTTTCAGATAATACTGTGTGATAATATATGAATTACTTGTTTTTTCAAGTTCTGAAAATGAATTTTTTAAGAATTTGGGTATACATGATGAAAATTTACCTTGCCATCAAGTAATTAGGGTGTGTGCATCGCATATGTTTTAAGAGGCATTATTAGACTCATGACACACGTCTCCTTTTTCTTTCTTGAACCATCATAATGTACAGGTTCTTAAAATATTTTTACATTTCAGGAGACAGTAATTCTTTCTTTTGCACCTTATCTCACAAATGCATATACTGCCACTATCTCTTTAAAAAAAAAAAGGTGTTTTTTTTTTTCATTTTTTGTGAGGTGAATTATATAACAGAAGACTCTTGTTATTTGAGCCTCAGTATAACTGGTCTTATTTAAAAGTCACTTCCCTAGAAAACAGAACCATGTCCACCTCTTGCCTACTCAGTCATACTATTTGTTGTTGTTGCAACTACTGGTTGAATATTAATTTAGGCTTAGTGTTGCTCTAAGTATGTCATGGGAGTCATCCCTAATCTGAAAATAAATCTGCAAAATATTGTCTGCATTTTTAGATATAAAAATAAGGCTGTAATGTTATGTGCTCAGGCATAACATGCTTAAGATAAGCATAATAAGACAGAATTTAAACAGGACTAAAAATGGTGACTCCAGTACTGATGCTCTGACTTGTTTGATTTCAAAGAAGTTATAAATGTACTGACACCTGATTCCAGTGAAATTCTTTCCATAATGTAATATGATGTATAACAATTTCTGCGATGCCTGAGTGCATATTATATTATGAAATATGAAAGAAATATTCCAGCTAAGGCTTTTTCTGAAAAGTGTGAATAAAATATATTATTACTTTTTTATAAATATCATAATATTTACATCTAATAATTTAGAATCATGACTACATTTCTTTTATATCTACAGATTGATTAGAGAGCAATTGACATTAACAATAATAGAATAATTTTTGATTCTTTGCTTTATTTTGTGCTCGGTAGGGAACCACTAGACAATTTTAAGCAAGACGAGGCAAAAATTAGAACAGCTTTTTGAGTAGAAGTCCTAAATATAATTTTAAATGGCTGAACTTTTTGTATATATTCAAAACAGAATGAGAGCTGGAGGGTTGTTTTGTTTTGTTGTATTTTAAGAAAGGAAAATATGAGAATACTTATTAATGGATAGGAATAATAAAATCCAAATATATAATGCCTAATAGATATTATAAATTAGTACTCTATTTAGCAATCTCCCCATACACCTTTTTCTACTCCTAGTTTTGAATTTGTCTCACACGTTGGCTGAGGTATGGTGATCTCCTTAATCAAATCTTGTGTAATCAGAAACCAGTTCTTTGATATTAGAAACCGTGTTCTGTAGGTTAATCCGGGATACTGACCTCCTCTCCTCCAGTGGTCTTATCCTCTGCTCTCTTCAGTTACTTACCGCTGTGGTCACACCCTTTACCTTGTCATTGCCAGTAACAGCAGCCTCTGTATTTTCAATTTTAAACTTCTCATTCCCCAGCCATCATCCCCTTTCTTTGTGGTGCATTCTGTCTTGTAACCCATTCAACAGTCCCAATAAAAATTTCAGTTCTTTGATTCTAATGCCGTTCTGTTATTGCTTCTCTCCCCCATGACCACGTCTCCCACCTCATCATGCTTAACACATTGTAATTATCACCTTGATGACATTCTAGGTTCTATTTCCATATGTAATTACTTCTACTTTTCTAAATTACTATTTTATGCCTGTTCTCTCCTCAACTCCGTTCACGTCTCTCATCCTCATTCCTGGCCCTTTACCTTGCATCCTGTTCCCTGAGAAGGAAGTAATCAGAACAGAACTTTCACTAGTTTCCACTGTCACTTCTGCCACCTCCCTGTATCTGTGCCATCTGCTCTGCCTTCTCTCTTGTTACTGTGGCTGAACGGGCCATTTTCCTAGCTAAGATCAAAACCTCCACTCACTCACCACATGCATGTTCCTGCCTGCTAAGAACATTGATCCGTCACTTCTCTCCACTCTCTCCTGCGTCTTAGTTTTGTTCTTTTTAACGGATCAATCCTATCAGCCTATGAACATGCTATTATTTCTTCCAGCTTAAAAACAAAAGCAAACTTTATATTGACCCCAGTTTTCCTTCCAGGTTTTACTTGTCTCTCCTTCCCTTTTCAGTAAAACCTCTCAAAAGTGTTGTGTTTACATGCTGTTTTCAATTTTTCTCCTCACCCTGTCTGCTGAGACCATTCTCGTCCCCGCCACTCCAAAACAACTCATCTTAGGACGGTCATTAATGACCTCCCTGTTGCTGGATTTGGTGATCCTTTCTCAGTCTTCATATTACTCAATATTTATATCCCCCAGAAAGAGAAAACATTTTCTTCACTTGCATTGTCTTCATCCTAACTCTCTGGCAGCAAATTTGCCTATTTTCCTCATTTCTTCAAATTTTAAATTGTGAAGTACCCCCAGGGCTTGGTTTGTGGCCTTTTCTCTCTACACTCACTGCTTAGATGAGCTATTCCTGTCCTATGGCTTTAAATGCCATCAAAATGCTGGTGATTTCCAAAATTATATATGTTCAGATCAGAATCTTCTACTCCTGAACTCTGGATTTGTAATAACTACCACAGGATCTCTCTGCATAGATGTCTAACAGGATGATCCACAACCAAACTTTGAATTCACCCTCCAATCCAAACGTTTTCTTCCCACAGTCTTCCTCATTTCATTCAGTTGCCTACCCAGATTAAAAACTTCATTCTTGAGTTCGTTCTTGACTCTTCTTTTCCTCTCACATTCCACCCATAACCTGTCACCAATTCCTGGAAGCTCTACCTTCAAACTATGTACAGAATCTCACCGTTTCTCATAGCCTTTTCTGTTACCACTCTGGTCAATGCCACTGTCATCTCTCACTTGGATTACTGCAGTGGACTCCTCTTTGGACTTGCTGCTTCTGCTGTTGTGTCAGAGTGATCCTGTTCAGAGGTCACGGCCCTTCTCTTCTCAAAGCTTGTCTAAGGCTTCCTGTCTCACTTGGAGTAAAAGCCAGAGCCCTTACTGTAACCACCAGGCCCTACACAACTTGTGTTCCTGTCCTGCATTCCCTTCCCATCCCTCATCTTTTTCCCGATCTCCTCTCTTACTCTCTCCAGCTTCATTGACTCTTCATTTCCCCACACACCAGGCACATTCTTGCCTCAGTGCCTTTACACATGCTCTTTTCCTCTGCTTAGAATGTTCTTCCTTCAGATATCCATATAAGTTGTCCCGTTTTTTAAAGTCTTTACTTAATTACAACCTTCTCAGTGAGGTCTTTTTTGTCAGTCTTATCAAAAATTTTAACAAAATCCCCACAACAATTTATAGGTCCCTTCCTTGCTTATTTTGGTATTCTTCAAATTTACCACTACCTAACATACCATGCATTTTACTTATTTTTTGAATTGTGTCATTCTTACTAGAATGTAAGCTCTATGAAGGCAAATATACTTACTGTACTCCTCAATCCCCGGTCCCTTGAGTTGTGCATGGCAAGTGGACAGTCAAACATGGTAGAATGAATAGCTAATGTTTGATTAAAAAAACATTTATCAAATAATTTTGAAGTGTTTTATCTCATAGAATACTCTGAATTTCATAAATCTTAGTCAGTTTTCAAAAAGAAGAATGATTAAACATATCTCTTTTATCCTGTACTCTTACAGGGAAAACCAGGTCCAAAGGGGTACGCAGGTGAACCAGGACCAGAAGGCTTGAAGGTAAAGCAGCTGACTTTATTACAGTTATAAAGTCTAATTTTCAAAAAAATAAAATTATGGCTTCTCTATAAATATAAAAGGAACACATATCAAAGATTTTAGTCAACTCATTAATTAATGAGGGAACCAGTAATATGTTAAAAGTGCTTCATATAGCATTTGAAATGTTGTATGTCTTTGTATCTGTATCTGTTTCTATATATCTGTCTATAAATATCTATGACTATGTCTATATCTATAATTGGATATACATTTTAGTAAAGAAATGTTAAGATTTGGGGTTGGATACAAGACAATAAACCATAACTTTGGGGGCTGTCTATTCCATCAGACAGAAATCTATAAGTTAATATAATTTCACTTAAAAATACACCAAGTCTGCGTCCTTGGACCAGTAGTATACGGTGAGTCTAAGTACATTCCCTGGATAATCCTTGGGTGACCTTCATACTTTTATGACATTGAAAGGCTATGTTACTTAACTTTTTTGCCTTGTTTCCAAGTTTTGTATGATTTTTTTAATCACACCAACAAATATAAAGCAACGCAGTGGTTTTGTATGCAAAGCATTAAGGTCTGAAAGAAACTAACTTACAAGAATTGGTGATTTGTACAAATTTAAAATTTAATAAAAAATTTAAATGCATCACAGAATTATTGCTAAATTTCCTAAAGCTATAGTTCCTTATTTATACTAAACTCTTCATTTTTATGATATTATAATATAAGGAAAAGCCAAACACCATTTTTTAAGGTCAATTAATAAAGAAATATGAGCTCAAATTTTTTAATGTGTCAGCATGTCTCTCACTGAAATTATCTTAGGGAAATTTACTTTCAAGTTACATGAAGGAACTCCCAGGAAAGAGAAGTGTGATATTTATAAATAGAAGGCTTAATTCTTTTTTTTTTTTTACACTGGGATTAATCTCTGTACTACCAAATAGCTCTAAAAAATCCGCCTGTGAGCTATCATCCAGTCAAACTGGCAAGAAGCTAATCTCAGTCATTATTGACACCTTGCCTCCTCCCTAGCCTCACACCAGCATCTCGGTGGCTTGCGTGCTACCTAGGAGGTGAAGGAAGTTCTTTAATGTTCAGTCCTCATACCTGCCCCTGAAATTTCTTCCTTGGCATATCACAGAGCTAGTCACTAGGACCTGGCACTCTAGGGGGACACTTGGGAGTTGGTTAAGGGTCACCACCTTTCACAGAACCCTGGGATCTCTGTTCTCTCCCTAGGCCTGGGAAATTATTCCTCTCTCTGTCTTTGCCCTTAAAGACAACTCACCTCCTACCTCTAGGTTCTCTGAAAACTAAAGCAGGAGTGTAGGTAATCTGCAAGCGACTTCTGCTTTCTGCTTTTTAAAAACAGACCTCCCCTAAGACTGTGTATCCCGAAGGGTTCATCTCCCTTGTTGGAACCTGAGAGGAACATTGAGTAAGGAGGGGGAAAATAAAAGAAAATTGCTGTATGTATGTATGTAATCCTGCCACAGACTTTCTATAAAAGCTGTCTAATGAACTGTCAGTCAAAAACTAGATTTACAGCCTACTTTATTCTGCCTTTTTCTTTATGATTTATCTAAATGGATACAGAAATTGAAAAGAAAATTTTTGTAGTGTTTGAAAGTTTATTTCAAACTGATTACCTATATGAATATTAGGTTTCAATGCTTAAAATCAGCACCATCTGATAGAGCATATAATGAGTCACAGATGTGAGCCATAATCAAAAAGTGAAAAGAAACAGGTGTGATTAATTTAGTGATTTATATTTTATTTAACCTAAGACATAAAAATACTATCATTTCAACATGTAATCAGTATTAAAGTTATTAACGAGTTTTTTGTACAAAGTCTTTGAAATCTAGTGTGTATTTTATGTGTACATCCCATTTCAGCTCAGACCAGTTAATTTCGAATGCTGATAGCTGCAAATGATGAGTATTCGGTGAAGTTTAACTGCTCCACACTGCAATGTAATTATTGCTTTGTAGACAGCAGTTGATGACTTAATCTCTTATTTTTGATATAAATAAAATGTACATTCCTGTCAGATTAACTCCAGGTGGTACCTTGAAACCTTCTTTCTTTCATTAATCTGTGCTTTGGTTCAGCCTTTGCTCATGCCATTCCTCACTGCTAAAAATGGCTTTTTTATCACTAGTGTACAAACCACCAATTCTTCAGGGCCCAAATCAAATACTGTTTCACAGTGTATTATCTGAAACCATCAGTGTTCATATTTTTAAAAGGTAATATGGTGTATTTACTGTATTTTACCTAACACTGCCAGCAGGCCCTGGCCGCAGTTAGACACATTGGTATTTCTGTGATGGAATGTTAGAATGTTCAGATTAATCACAATATATTAAGATTATAAAGAGCCTCCTCCAAATCAAGTAAAAGAATGGCTATCAGATAAATGCAGGTTAGGTCAAGTTTGCCACCAAATGTGTTGGAAAGCTTTGGGTTTTCAGAGCTTTAGGGCCAGCAGAATTGTGGTTAAGGTTATGAACATGCATTACTTCTCCAGTGAAGCCAGCTCTGCACCTGCCCACAGGGTGCCTGCTCCTGTGAACCCCTTCACTATGTACCTGTGGTTTGTCTTCTGTTCTGTGTTCTGCTCAGTGTTACGAGACAGCTCATCTCCTGAAGCAGAGTGTCCCTGTGGGCAGAGACTTTATTTTCATTCTTCTTAAGCTCTGCAGTGTCTACCACTCTGCCTTTTATAGAGTATATTTTATTTTTAAATTTTAATTTGTAAGAGTGTTTTAGAAGTGATCAAAAGCCATAAATAGAAGAATGCCATTTAAGAAAACAGGTCATTACTATTTGAATGAAAATAGAGGAAAGACCATGTTTCACAGAAACGCTGTAACAGATCTGAATAACGGAAAGTTCCTTTGTTTTCTAGGTTATGACTAGATAATTACAGCACTAAACGGAGGCAGGAGTGATGTCAAGAGTAATCTTGTTTGAAAAATAATCATGTTTGCAGCTTTATATTCTTCATTAACAGGGAGAAGTGGGAGAGCAAGGAAACACTGGAAAGACTGGGGAAACAGTAAGCTTGTTTTATTCTCTTAATTTCATTTTTTTTAACCGCCTTGTGGACATTTTTAAGAATCGTATTAGCCATGATCTGTGCTTATAAAATTCAGAATACAAAATACTTATCCACTACAAATTTAAACCCACTTGTGATGTGACAGATAAAGCCTACTATACAAAAGAGAAATGAGAGGAAACACATGATACTGATATTTCTGTCCAATATAAATTAACATTTGTGACCTCAGGAACATTCTTGTGTCTAATGTTTGGTCTTTACATTTCGTTTTGGTCATTTCAGTCTAAGTTTGACCGTAACATTTTTCATGATTAAAAAAGCTACAAATTATCAAGCCGTAAAATACTGTAATAATTTAAAGGTATTTTTCTGTATCTTTGAAAGATTGAAGTAAATCATGAATTAATTCAATTAAAAACGTGGTTTCTTTCCTCAAAAAAAAGTTTGACCTGTTTGAATTTACATTATTGCAGAAGTAGGAGGCTTTTTGTTGTGTTTGGATCAGATATGTTAGAACTAATTTTATTTTTGCAGTGGGAAAAGCCAGCTGTGATATGCCCTAATAGATGAACCTACATTACGTATAAAGTAGGAAATTAAATTAACCCAATGCAAGTGAATTTATTTACAGAGTGTGCTGGGTTGTCAGAAAGCAGGTGATACCACTTTACTTCATCGGTTAAATGAGCAGATATAATTTCCTATAATCTATCTTACAATTTAAATAAAAATAAATCTTCTAAAAAAACTGTTTTGTGAGCTTAATAATTAAATAATTGTATTTTCTAGTCTGGTAGTAAAACAGCAGTACATTTCTGATCCTCTTCATTTTTGTGATTAATTATTGATAAAAAAAATAGGGAGGTGACCCATTTGGTCTTAAAAGATCATCGACATCCCAGTGACTCCTGAGTCACTAGGAGGTGAACGTTTGTTCCTGTTTTTACCTAGAAGGGAAATTTCAGGGGAGTACGTGTATCAATCAGATTATTCAACGCTTCTCATCAAATAAGAATATAATTTGTATTTCTCTGTCATTCAAAATTTTTAAAGTGTAATTTAAAGAAGTGAAATTCTGCCATTCCTGAATGATAAATTGCTTAAGAAATACATAAACTAGAATTTATAGCCAAACTTCCCAATACCAACAAAGGATATCTGTTCTGAAAATACCACCTTATACATCGAACGTCTAAGCTTTATTTACTTAGTGATGTCGGCCTGGTTCCACGCACTGTAAGAGCCTGTCATCAGTGCTGTCCAAAGAGGAAATGGACTGTCTTGGCAGGTAGCAGGTTTATGTTACTGGAGGGAAATTAGTAATTATGGATTATTTGCTATGTGCCAGGGATCATGCTAAGTAATATTTTATATTGTGGCATTTCATTTACTTTTCAGTTTTAGAAAAACACATTTTGTTATTCCAGTTTCTGAAATGAGGAAAGTGAAGGACAGTAAGTAGCCTGTTCAGTTACCTGGCTCGTCAACCGCTGCGCTGGGATTTAAACCCGCAGCTCCAAACTCAAAGTCCACATCTCAACATTCAAAACATTATACCATGCTGAGGACTTTTTCCAGCTTTATCAAGGTATAATTGGCAAATAAAGTTAAGATATTTAAAGTATATGTGATGATTTGATACGCATATACTTTGTGAAAGGGTCCTCCATTCCCATCAAGGTATTTAACACATCTGGGGGTATTTTAATGTCAGCTGAACAGCCACTTGGCCTAGATTTTATAGAGAAATTTTAAGTGTCAGATAAGTTATCAAACAGAAGGACCTTTTCAACTTTGAGTTTCCATCTTTCTCATTAAGGGTGGGAGATAAAGGCTTTTAAAACAACTTCAGTGGATATATACTGAATTAATCAAGATACATAAAATACCTAAAGAATATTTTTCGCTCTTGGAATCTCTCAGCTTTTATTTTATTGTATTCATCTAAGAACCTTAGAAATACAGTTCACCTGCTCCAGAGTTCTGTTTAAACAAAACTCCTAAGAGGTGTGGGGAAATCTGACTGCACTTGACGATGTCGGCCTTGTAACTTGGGGCTGCCTAAGGTTAGTTGTGATCACTTAGCTAGTTTTTACTTTTCTGAAACTTTTTGTGCAGTCATTTAATTGCCTTCCACCAGACCTCCTCCAGTCTGTTTTTCTCTAGCTTTACACAATTTACAACCCAGTTGGTGATGGAGTGTGCCAAGCATCGTGGTCTCACCTGTATTCCATGTCTGTATACCTCTTACATTTACCTACTGTAGACACATGATTAAATTCTGTAAACGTGCCCTGAATAAGACTCTAATTTCAAAAGATGCCTCCTTACTCTTTTCGTTCTGGCATTCTATTTTTTATGAATAAATCTGGAATTATTCCACCTTAATTGCCAGTCCTCTGTCTTTGACTTTGTAGGCTGAAAGTATTTGAAGAGCTGTAAAAGGGAAAAGAATATACTTTTTTAGAAGTAGGCTCAGTAGATAGGCCTTATAAAGAACAGACATTACAAGGGGTAGAATTATAAGGGAATAGCTTTTTTTTGTAGGCAAGTATATTTTAATAGAATTTCTAGCACTCAAACAGATCCTTCCATAAGTGATTCAACACCTCATTCTTAGATTTGAATGACTTTCTGCAAGCAGATTTTTTTTTTGGATTTAGGACATTTATTGAGCCTTTGATCCTGCCTTCATGAAACTTATAGCCTACTAAAGATTTGCTACATTAAATAAATAATCTCATAAAAATATATAATTATAAACCGTGATACATTCTATAGAGAAAAATTTTAAGGGACTATGACAGAGGTGATGAATTTAGATCAGGAGATGAGAAAAGACCGTTTTCAGGAAATAACATATAAGCTGTGACCATAACGAAGGGTTTGAGCCAGCTAGGGAAGGGTGGGGAGAAAGAACGTTCCTGGAATATATAATATAACATGCTTTCCAACTTTGCCACGTACCTTGCTGTAGGGACATTTCTTGACTTCTCTAAATATTTGTTTTCTCAACAGTAAAAGTATTAAAATAATAACTACCCCATAGTTTCTTAGGATTAAACACGGTAATGCACTTAAAGCACTTAGCCCAGAGCCAGTGACATAGTGAAAACTTGATAAATGTTAGCTGTGATGACTGTGGTGGTGGTTATTCTTATATGTGATGATTCTAAGTAAGAAAGCATCTTACTGGTTTGAGGAGCTGAAAGCAAGCCAGTGTGGACATACCTTGGTGAGCCAAGCGAAAAGCAACATTAGGTGGTGTTAGTGAAGGAGGCAGGAGCCAAATCATTTGGGGCCATGTTTATTATTTTGGACTTGATCCTAAAGTAGATGGAAAATCACTGAAGCAGTCTAAGTGAGCCAGTGACATGATTTATTTTGTGTTTTAAGATCACTCTGGTGGCAGTGGATTGGGGTGTTGGAACATGGTTGTGGGGAGCAGAAGGAGAAAGGGATAACCCGTCAGGATGCTGTTGAGTCTCCAGAGACAGCAAGATGACGAGCCAGGTGATGGCAGCAGAGATGATGGGTAGATGTCCTTGAGATGTGTTTAAGGTGATAGTTTGGACAAAGTCCGCAGTGCAAGGGAATGCTTCTGGTCAGCCCCAGCATATAGTAACTATTGGTGATTTATAGAAACCTTCTGGAAGCATAAGGAGTTAGTACATATGATGTCTAGGGATAATTCCAATTCTGAGAATCTGTGACTCTTTTCTAAGAACTGCAGTGTTTTCTAGTCTTCCTCTCACCTGCCAATTTGGCTTCTTTTCTCTGGCTCTCCTCCAGTTTCCTTATGTCTTTCTAGAGTTGGAGCGAATAGAACTAAACTAAATATTTTAGAGACAACGGCTTCACGGCCTGTTCCATGAGTGGGATAATAACTTCTGTCGTGTTTTCTTTATGGTTGATGGTTCTCAGAACCAGGCAGGCTTTCTTCTATAGCAGGAGGTTGGGATGTCTTTGGAAAACGATCAGCGGTCACCCCCAGGATCCTTTTCTGGTCTGTTATTTTAAAGATAAAAGTTGGAATTTCTTTTCATAAAGTGACCTTGATTGCATCAGATTTCGGTTGCCATTTTTCTGCCCACTTGAAGAGATTCTTATGGTTGTCCTGTGGTCTGACCACATTGATTTACTCTCTTAAAAGATAACCCAACTATTTGATTTCACCTTATTTATTCCTTAATTTGTCAATTTAGCAAGATTTCATAAGCAATCTGCCGTGTCCTCTGTTTTTCTGCCTGCCCTCTGATGTGCTAGTATATAGTACATGACTGATGAACAGAGAGGAAGAGGAAAGGCCATGGATAATCCTCAAAATCAGGTACTCCACTTCTCATTATAAAACCTTCAGAATCATAGAGCTTCTGATGGCTGATTCTAAGCTGGATTACTACCAGTTCATTCAAAGCCAAACAGAGGCGAGTCAGAGGAGGAAATAAAAGGAGATCTATTTCTTGAAGGCCTATTATGTCATTTAATCTTGAAACAACCCTTGTAACATAAGTCTTATTGCCGTTCTATAAATGAGGACACTGAAATTTAATGAAGTTATGTGATAGGTTTTAATTCATACAGCTAGTAAGCAGTAAATCTGGGTTTCAAATCTTAATTTTCTAAACTGTAGTTCCAAGATTATTTTCTCTGTGTCATGCAAACATCCATTCATACTGTTTTTAAATTGAACCTTGAAGTACATCCTTGTGAATCAATGGTTAGAAAGATTTAGAAAAGGGCAAAATAAAATTTTACTCTGTAATCTCAGAGGCCAGGCTGGCAAATAAAATATTGTCAAATGTTATTAGTTTCTGAGACATATTGAAACATAGTTTAAGGCATTTACAGTGGAATCAGGAAAGATTTGAAGGCTCTGGAAGAAAATATTTTAGAAGTGCTCAACACAAAACCTCATATGATACAGTGGTTTTGCTGCTCTCTGGTAGCATTACTGTGAAATTACCAAACTTGATAAAAGTTGATTTTTTCTT